ATACAGGGATCATTGTACCCTCCAAGTCCCCATACGAGTCCTCTGTTCTATTCCAAAAGAAACATGATGGCAGCATGCGACTCCGTGTGGATTATCGAGCTCTAAACAAAATCACTGTGAAGAACAAGTACCCTATTCCGCTAATGGCAGACTTGTTCGATAGACTAGGTGGTGCGATGGTGTTCACCAAGATAGACCTGAAGATAGGTTATTGGCAAGTTCAGATTGCATAGGGTGATGAACACAAGAGGACTTGTGTGACAAGATATGGGTCGTACGACTTCGTGGTTATGCCGTTCGGCTTGACTAACGCCCCAGCTACGTTTTGCACCTTGATGAACCAAGTTTTCCGAGAGTACATTGATGAATTCGCGGTGGTCTACTTGGATGACATTGTGGCATATAGCCAAACATTGGAAGAACACCTGGTGCACTTGCGGAAGGTCCTAGCTCGATTGCGGGAGCATGAACTATATGCGAAGCTATCTAAGTGCTCCTTTGCTCAAAAGCAAATTGACTTCCTCGGACATGTCATCGAGGAAGGACGAATCAAGATGGACCAACAGAAGATTCACGCAATCACAGATTGGCCGCCGCCTAAGGATATCCACGCCTTGAGGGCGTTCCTTGGCCTATGCAATTTCTATCGATGATTTGTGAAAAACTACTCCCTCATTGCAGTACCATTAACAGAACTCCTCAAGAAGGTCACGCCTTGGGATTGGGGACCCAGGCGAGCGGAGGCCTTCAACGCATTGAAAGCGGCTATGTCTAGTAGCCCCGTTTTGGCCCTCTCTGATCTGGCCAAGCCATTCGAGGTACAAACAGATGCATCCGACTATGCCCTCGGCGGAATCTTGCTACAAGAAGGGCATCCTGTAGCATACGAGAGTCGGAAGCTGAAGGATGCAGAGCGGCGCTATGCCGCCCATGAGAAAGAATTATTGGCTGTCGTCCATTGCTTGCGCCTCTGGAGGCACTATCTGTTGGGGACCCCATTCGTGGTCAAGACAGTCAACACAGCTGTTAGCCATTCCATGACCCAGCCGAAGTTGAATGGTCGACAGGCTAGGTAGCAGGAACTACTAGCTGAATTCCACTTCAACTTGGAGTACCGAAGTGGGAAGACCAATCATGTTGCTGATGCACTCAGTCGGAGAGTTGATTTAGCATCGGTGTGCCTACTCGCCACCCTAAGGGGGAGCGAAGTAGCCACCTCCATCAAGGACCAGATACAGGATCTACTCATCAAGGATCCTGCTGCACAGTATTTGTTTGATTTGGTAGGACAGGGCAAGACTCGCCAGTTCTACATGGAAGATGGTTTCCTGAAAGTGAAAGAGAACCGACTTTATGTTCTTAAAGGAGGAGATCTGCGAAGGACTCTTCTGGCGGAATGTCATGATACTCTGTGGGCCGGCCATCCCTGTGAGGAACGCACCATGGCGTTACTTCGCCGTGCATATTATTGGCCTCAAATGACCGATGACGTCGCTCAGTATGTGAAGACTTGTCTAGTATGCCAGAAGGACAAGTCAGACCGCTTGACACAAACGGGACTCTTGGAACCACTAGCTGTACCAAAGAGACCTTGGGAACGCGTTTCCTTGGATTTCATCACCGGATTGTCCAAGGTCGGAGATCTCACAACTATCTTGGTTGTGGTAGATCGGTTTTCCAAGTATGCTACCTTTATTACCGCCCCACAATATATATCAGCAGAAGATACAACTCGACTCTTCTTCTCTCATGTCGTCAAATATTGGGGCCTGCCCAAAGACATTGTTAGTGATCGCGACTCACGCTTCACTAGCAACTTTTGGACCCAACTCTTTAAGTGCCTTGGGTCAAAGTTGATTCACAACTCAAGTTTTCACCCGCAATCTGATGGCCAGACGGAGTGGTTCAATGATATGTTGGAGGAATATCTCCGCCACTTTGTAACCGGATCGCAGAAGAATTAGGTGAAGCTTCTGGATGCTGCTCAACTGTGTTTCAATTCACAAAAGAGCTCTAGTACAAACAAAACGCTTTTGAAATTGTTACCTGACAACAACTGCTACTCCACACACAGTCAATGCACCAAATATGTCTAAATCTCCTCGAGCTGCTAGCTTCTCAAAAGAGTGGAAGCGAGATTTGGAGATAGTGCGGATCTATCTTGTCAAGGCTCAAAAGAGGATGAAGAGGCATGCTGATCAGAATCGTCGCTTTGTCGAATACCAAGTAGGAGACAGAGTGATGGTCAAAATTCCAAAGCGGTACTTATTTACGGGGGTCCATGACCCTCGCCTATTGCAAAAATACATTGGGCCCTTGTCCATTGAAAGGCGCATTGGGAAAGTTGCATACCGGTTGGATACCCCAACTTGGTGGAAAATTCATCATGCCTTCCATGTCAGCCTCCTGAAGCCTTTTCGGGAAGACACGGAGGATCCTTCACGGAGCCAGCTCACAATACCCAGTATTCGAGGTCCCAATTCAACTGGGAAAAGGCGTGTTGAAGCTATCCTTGATGATAGAGTGATTCATGCCAAAAGGAAAGATCACCAAGAGTTTTTGGTGAAATGGCAGGGTTGTGATGCAGAGGAGAATACATGGGAGAGGGGAACAAACCTCAAAGCCTACAAGAGCCTAATTGAAGATTATATTGCAAGTAAGGCACCGAGGACGTCGCCAACTCAGGTGGGGGAGAATGTCATGGGCGGCTTTCCAGCCATGCCCCATGACCCCTTGGGCGCACCCCGTGGCGTCCTAGCAAGCCTCCAATTGCCTAAAGCCACGGACGTCCCCGTGGTCTTGGCCTCGCCAAGTGACAAGCGCACATGTGCCTCTGTCACCCCACCGATATCCCTCGCTAGCGCCCAGCCGCAGGCAGATGCCAACAGCGCCGCGCGCCCAGACAACGCCCCATGCGCCGACCGTGATGCCAAAGATGCTGTTGCTGACAACGGACCTGTTTCTGCCTTGTAGAAAACTAAGTCCTTTTCATTGTAAATATAGAGTAGTTTTATTTCATGTACTTCCATTATGTTTCTCTAGCTTAGTCAAGTCTAGTCTTGTAGCTTTGGTTTATTTTTTTTAAGCATTATTAGGGGGATCAAGCAATCAAGCTTTCTAGCAAGCAAACAATTCTCTGTATTGGTGTCTCTCCCCCTCGACACCTGTTGCTTTTTGTAATAGCTTTCATTAATGCAATCAAGCTTTCTCTCATTCTCAATTATTTCTGTTCTCTCAATTGCTCTTGACATTGGTTTTCCGTATGACACTGACAATCTAGTCTAGCGTACGGAGGGGACCTCAGTTGGCGGACAGTAACTGCACTGACATCAGTTGCTTAGCTTTACGTCGCCCTTCCAAAGAATCTCAGGAAGGCGCCACGTAACACAACACATGAAGACTGATGTAATATACCATGTTGTCTCATGTAGGACTGAAATAACTCTGACATGTATTCTTTAGCGTTATCACTCCTTAGAGTACGTACTGAAGCATTGAATTGAGTTTTGACTTCAGCACAAAAGGCAGAAAAATGAGTAAACACTTCAGAGCGGCTCTTCATAAAGTAAATTCAAGTCATTCGAGAAAAATCATCTACAAAAGTGACAAAATACTTATGCCCAGTTTTAGAAACAACCGGACATGGTCCCCAAACATCAGAATGGACTAACTCAAAAGCTGACTCAGCTCGCTTATTAACCCTTGGACTTAACGAGATGCGATGGTGTTTTGCAAATTGACATGACTCACAATCCAATGATGAAATATTCTGAAACTGAGGACAGAGCTTCTTTAACGAAGGCAAAGAGGGATGTCCAAGTCAATAATGTGCTTCAAAAGGAGACACGATACTAGAGCACGCAACAGACCGTGACTCCCATTCATCAAGGATGTAGAGATCACCAGATATATATCCTTTACCAATAACCTACATCGTCTTAAGATCTAGAATCAAACAATGATCGGGAAAGAATGCACCACAACAAGTTGATCCATCAGCTACAATAACCGGAGAGGGTGCTTTATGTGAGCGAAAGCTAGAAAAAATATTTGGATTACCTGTCATGTGATTTGTGGCACCTGAATCGATCACCCATTTATTGGAAGAGGTGATAAGACATGTTTTATCTAACCAACAAAGGCAGTAACTGGAGAAGATTTTTTAACTGATTTATGATATTGAAGGAATTTTAGAAACTCATCCGAAACCAAGATTGTTGGACTAGGAGTTGTTGCATTATTATTCTTTACCATCATTTTTCCTTTCAATAACAAACTGATTAAACTAACAGAGGTCCCCGAAGCTAAAAGATACCCAAACAGATTCTGGTAGATACGGAATCAACAATCTAATGAACAGGATTCAACTTTAATAATCCACTCAACCAAATCAGAGAACCAAACGAATTTGTCCCCAACTCAAACAAAATCAGAGACCAACAAAGTTTCTGATAAGGAAAGACCCATCAGACAATATCAAGTCACTAATCGATCACCACAGTGAGTCAAAAATAAAGATGCAAGCTTCTTACACAGGCAGCCTCCAGGAAAAATACCACAGAATTAAAGAAATCGAATAACCAATAAACCAAACACAAACCTGACCAAACAAAGTAGAAAAAAATCTGGTATGAGGTTGTTCTTTGCCAAAATGTAATTCTATGATCAGAGAAACACCACAAGTCAACTGGAAATTTCAAAAAGACCTCAGATTAGCTTCCGGCCAAGGAATTTCCGGTAGCGGATTCGACTCAGCTCCGATGAGCAATAGACTTGCTCTGATACCCAGAGACAATAGAGAAATCTTTCTTGTTTGTATTCAAGAAGTAACAAGTATATATACAAGTACATAGAGCCCTAACTATGGAAAGAATCAAAAAGGAAATCTTATAAATCTGCTGTGAATCCCTATAATTATGCTAGCTATGTATATTACATAAGATTATGTCTACATTCATTATCTAACAAGAAGATTTTAAACTTTCTTCTTTGGATTGCAGGCCTTAACGTAGGAGGTGCTGTACTTGCCGGCATTGGCATTGGATGGCTAATCTTCTTCTGCAAACAAAAGAGAAAGCGGATTGCAGCACAGGCTTCACCTATCCAAACCGAAAAGAAAGATCTTCCAATTTTATGTTCAAGCAATGGCCTGACTTCTTCTTCTCCTAATTCTTCAACCACTTTCACCAGAAGCATTCCCTCTTATCCCTCTTCCAAATCTGAAGCTGATTACGGGAGGGGAAGCTCCTACTTTTGGGCGCATGTCATCAGCTTCGCTGAACTTGAAGAAGCCACGGATAATTTTGATCAATCTAAAGAACTTGGAGATGGTGGTTTTGGCGTCGTGTACTATGGTATGTACTGCAAACTCCTGATTGCATATTATTATTTTGGTAAGAGAGCCTCCTAACAATTTTAGTAATTGTTAATCAGGCAAGCTCCGTGATGGTCGTGTGGTTGCAGTCAAGCGCTTGTATGAGAACAATTTCAAGCGTGTAGAGCAGTTCATGAATGAAGTTGAGATTTTAACTAAGTTCCGCCACCAGCACCTCGTGACATTACGGGTGCACATCAAAACGAAGCCGAGATTTACTGCTTGTTTATGAGTACATATCAAACGGGACAGTGGCAGATCATCTGCATGGAAATCGGGCCAAATCTGGTTTACTCTCTTGGCCTGTCCGAATGAACATAGCCATTGAGACTGCTGATGCTCAGGCTTATCTCCACTCCTCAATTATAATACGCCGTGATGTCAAAACCAACAACATTCTATTAGACAATGATTTCCATGTGAAAGTTTCTGATTTTGGGCTATCAAGATTGTTCCCAAATAATGTCACACGTCTCTACTGCTCCACAGGGTACACTCAAAACACTTTTCTATCTTGGCATTTGGTAGATCAGATTGACCACAAAGAGAACTTTGGTCATTTTAGCCGCTCAATGAACTTAGTTGATCTTATGCAGTCTTAATGGAGCATCTATAAGCAGTTTTTCTGTTGTTTTGCTGAAGGAGTAGGTGAAACCCTCCCTAGGAGGTGTGCCCTATTACTTTTTTATCTGAACAGCAGCTATAGTTTTCTGAGATTTCTTTTTTGACAGCATAGTGAGTGTACTAAGAGCTACGGTTTTGTAAATGACTCTTTGGTGATTAGTAAAATAATTTAGTTACAAAAAAAATCATTAAATTATAAAGGAAACACTTAGCCCCCTATAAGCCAGCAATTTGATGTCAAATTTCATTTAGATGAATCAGAAATTCGAATTTCCCAATGTTCCATTTGTTATCTTTCATTTCCAATTTAAAGTATGGCATGAAGCTGGTTGATCTACAGTAATGAGGTGGTTCGATACGCTTTACACACGCAGAGTGCTAGTAGGGCTAAGACAGAATAATTGGGTCTCTGGGCCTGGATTACCTGCAAATTTATTTAATCATCTAGCCGGACTTACTATATGACAGGGAACTTCTTGGTGTCTTTATGTAAGTGCTTTATGGTCTTTGCCTATGTTTAGTTCACACATACTGGCAAGGAGGAGGAGCTATCATATGTTTTGTGTTGTGGATTACGGGACAATGTAAACTTGCCGCATTATATCTTTGATGCATAGAGTAAGTCATTTATGGTCGGAATTGAGATCTATGGTGTTTTTTTTCCATCTGTTTTTGATAAGTTAAGCGTGCCTACTCACTCCAGATTTTGGATATAGTAATGTCTTCATTGGCAACAGTTGCCCTCTGTTGGAACATAAATTCTAAAGGTCATTCTTTTGGTTTGTGCAGGATTTTGTTTTAGTTTGACACGGATAAAGAATGCATCAAAAGAACCAGAATTGGTGTACCATATTGTCAAGGGGACTTTTGAGAGAGTGGTGTTCAGCCCGAATATGTGTGCTAAAGCTTAGACACTGACGTTGAACCTCTTCTAGTATGTTTCCAGCTCAGAACTTGATTTGATTTCTTGTATATAATATGTTCTCTCCTAACTTGGATCTTGAAAACTCTAATCAATATAAAATCTGCTTTAGAAATTTGAAAGGGTGACCGCTGCCTACTGGGATTGTTTTCGACTTTAGATATCAGTACTCTCTTATCTTCAAGTGAATTTAAAGTTAAAGGTTAATGAATGGTGTGGTGAATTGAAAAAGAATCAGATAGAAGAATGACATCAGCTATTGAGAAAATGTCGGAAAAGGCAGGGTCCAGCGCCGAGGAAATGCCAAGTTTTTTTGGCAGAATGCGGAAACAAGAGTCTTATACTAGTAGTTGCTCATCGTGACTTGTTTCTATCGCTTTAGGCATGGAAGGCGACTGATTGCTCTGCGCATTGTTTGTTGTGAATATAACATGGAGTGATTGTGCTGGTCCATTACTTTCCCATCATTGCTCTTTACCTTAAATTTCCCTTTCCCTTACTTTCTCTTTTTTCTTTCTTTGCTTTTACTGTCTCTGCGCAAATCTTTCTATATTCCCGTACCCCGTCAAACTATTAAACGCAAGACATGTATCTTTATACATAAAATTATTTAGTCATGTTACGCATCTTTATGTTAATTTATAAACTGCTAAGGTTAAGTTAATTGATTTGACATAAACGTCGAGTGCAGATAAATTTATTCCTGTATTCCTTCTAAATATTTTAAACTGAAAACATCAAAATTGGATACATTCAACATTCTCATGTGTGTATTACTTTAGTGCTTACAGTTTAATAAAATAGCAGCTTGTCAAATATTCTAGGTGATTATATTCTTACCAAGTAAAGAAATGGTTATAATTCAATTATGTATCATTCTCTTCATCACGTTCATTATAGTGAGTAGTTAAGCATTATTCTCTTGATTATTCGGAGCTGTCGAGAGGACTTAATTGCTATGGCTAGCTAAGTTGCGCGGCGTAGTGTTTCTTTGCGTACAAGAAAAACATTTTTAACTTTTTGACGTCTTTCGAAGTTTCAATCATACGGGCACTACTTCTTTACCTGAAAAAAGTAGTAGTACTATATTTCTTGGGTCTCTTTTCCTTTTGATTTTCGTCTTATTGTGAAAGACTTAACCACCTCTTCCTGTCTTCCATCCGATTTCCTTTTCAACTCCGTACATACTACCATTACGTTGGCAGAGCACAAAAACAAAAATGTTATAAAATAAAGACCGTAAAGTAAAGACAAGTATAGAGAGAAATTGTTATATTATTCGAATTCAAACTGATGTACATAATAAACTGAAATTTCTTCTATTTATAGAAGAAAGGAAGCTGATGTGTAAGCTGCTACTATACCAGATATGGATAATCTTCTACTGAGAGCAATGTTTATCCATAACGGAGTACTGAAAGGATAAGTTTATTATACCCGATATGGATAATCTTCTACCGGGGGTAATGTTTATCCATAACTGGGTACTGAAAGGATAAGCTTATTATACCCGGTATGGATAATTTTCTACAGGGGGTAATATTTATCCATAACCGGGTACCGAAGTGATAAGCTTCTATTTCCAATAGAGTACTAAATAGATAAGCATATTTACGGTGGAGTCTCATATGGATAAGCTTCTTCAAGAAGCTTATTTACAACGGAGTACTAAATGAACATCCATAATATAATATATTTATAACACTCCCCCTTGGATGTTCATTAAAATATAATGTGCCTCATTAAAACCTTACTAGGAAAAACTACGTGGGAAAAAATCCCAGTAAAGGAAAAAGAGTACACATATTTAGTAAGACGCATTGCTAGGTGCCTCATTAAAAACCTTATAAGGAAAACCCCATGGG